CACCAGGCTGAAGTCCATGGCGCAAGACGTGCGGTTGCTGGTTTGGTCTTGTTTGGTGGTGCGGAAGATCAGAGTTGGGGCAGCCAGGAGACCAGACAGCAGCCAGATGGCTGTCAACGAGGCTTGAGTGTGGCCTCGGGTGCGCAGCTGGGTGCTGGACAAGGAGTGGACGATGGCCAGGTAGCGGTCGAAGCTCATACAGGTGAGGCAGAAGACACTGGCATACATGTTGAGCAGGACCACGTAGCTGCTGATCTTGCACAGGGCCACGCCGAAGGGCCAGTGGTAGCCCATGGCAGTGTAAACGGCCCACAGTGGCAGAGTGACTACAAAGGTGAGGTCAGCCAGGGCCAGGTTGCCAATGTAGACGTCAGCAGCTCGCCTCTTACCCTGGGCACGCCACACGGTGAAGATGACCACCCCATTTCCAGAGAGGCCGAGGATGAAAATAAGCATGTACAGCACCGGGATGACGGAGTATGACGGCGTCCACTCAGAATAGTCACACATGGAGGAGTTTTCTGTCTCCTCGTAGTCGTAATACTCATAAGTACCTTCAGTTGGCTCCATTTCAGTTCTCTCTTCTCTTCTTACCCTTTTTTAAAGAGAAAGAAAAATCTATGTTTGGTTCAGATAGATCCACAGTAGCTGTCAGCACTCTGAAGTCTGTTGCTGCTTCTGAAATCTGCCACCCTTATATACCCCCCTCCCCGGCTTGTGCCCTCCCAGGACACCCCCTCCTCCCCTCCGACTGCCCTCCTCCTCTCTGTTTGAAGGAAAATGCTCTTTCACCAAGCACACGCCCACATTTCTCTCCATTCACTTGTTTTGTGACTCACTGCATAGTGCAGAATGGAGTCACTTTAATATATGTGATATGGGTTGAAATTCTAGTATTTTATTTTTTTCAGGATAGCCCTCCCTGTCCTCACTTTACGTGCACAAAACACAGGCTACAGAAATTGATCCCTGGAAGCAAAATGAAACTCAAATCTATAAATCATATATCATATTCTAACACCATCTAGTACCATAAAGAAAACTGCAGCACTTTTTTACTTCAGGCAATGAAAGTGAATTAGACATGTTTGGACAGTAGCCCACAAGTCAAGTCTGGGCATGACAAGTTTCATGAAGTACTCAATTTTAATATCAATTGATAGTCCTTCCGGCACCGGAGCACTCTGCTGAAGAGGCTGCAGAAATTTACATTTCTATGTCAAGACATTTTCATGTCTGTACATGCTCAAACAAGTAGAACCACACACTAAAGACAAAATAAAGTTGTGGTTAGCTTTAATGAACTATAGGTTAGACAAACAAAACTTTAACCTCAGACTTTTAATTGAAAAAAATATAAAAAACAAGCACTGACTCTAAGACAAATGCTTAGAAACATGTCTAATAGCCTTGAGTTAAATTTTATTTCTTCTTAAACTTTAATGTTTTTTTTTTTCAAATACTGTGTTTATTCAAGAAGAAAAATAAAATAAATATAACAAATGTAATCCTTTACAAAGAAATAAACAACAAAATTGATAAATGACAGACACAATATAATGAAATGTATTTAATGACAGGGTTGGCATATTATATAAACAAAGAAATACATCTATACATACTACAAAATAAAAGATCAGATATTTATTTACAATAAAAAAAAATCCTGACTTTCAATTTTAAAACTCAATGCATCCTGTAAAGACACTGGGCAAATATTGTAATATGATATATTTCCATCACTTCTTGCATTTGTGCACTTTTTGCCGATTTACACAGCAGAAGAAATATTATAAGTTTTAAGTTTTGATATTGAATATTGAATATTTGACAACACAAGTTGTCAAATATGATACAATTAACCTGATTGAAATACAACTAAATACCAAATATGGGTTTTATTTTGGGGAAATATGTATGAAATGATACACAGCATGTGTAGAATAGAATTTATATTCTATTTGATTTGATTGAATTGTGCAAAAATAAATAACATGGGGTTTTGGTTTTGAATATGTGGTTGGAACAATAAGGATTTTTTTCTTTTTTTTCAACTTTAAAACTGCTTATGGTAAGCTAAAGAAGTCAAACAAGCAACTTCCTCTTCTTTGGTGTCTCTTTGGTGTCTCTTGGGTGTATTTGTTGGCCCAGGTGGGACAGCTCAGTCTTCAGTCTGCTCCGTCTCTCAGCAGAGTGGCAGCAGTGGCGCCAGGGCACCGACCTTTAGACACAACTACTGTATCACTCAACATTGTTTTCCTCCACTGATCCCTTCCTCCACCCCTCCATCTCTGCCTCCTGCACCCTCCCCACTCATCTCCGCCTTCCTCCGATTATGAAGATGAGGATTGATTCCCGTCTCCTCCACTTTTACCGTCATTTACTCTCAGAAAACTGTTTGTTGTTGCCAAATGATTGTGATGCAAGCTTGTGGCATTTCATAATCAAACTGATGTGATTGTGTTTGTGTCCCTCCTCCTAAACACTGTCCTCTCTCAGTCCGCTTGATTGTGCGTCCAGCTTTTTGTCCGTCCGGCAGAACAGGAAAACAGCAAAGTGAAGTGAATTAAAGCAAGCTTCCTATCTGTACTCTGGCGGGACTGAGGTCTGTTTATAGCAGTGTTCACCGACAGGGATGTGAATATACAGCTAAATAAAACAGGCCTTGATTAATACAATCAATCCACCCAGTCACTCTTCCCAGAAAACCCCTTTATAGAACAGTTTTAGAAAGAAATAACAAGAAATAAAGTCTGCTGCAGATAAAGGTTCTCGATGCACTTCTTGAGACTGCAGCACGACAAAAATCCCAATTTCTATGCTGATGAGTGACAAGTTCCAATTGGACTGACATGAACCTCCTTGCAGAATATCCATCATTTCGCTCAACATACCAGAGACCCTGTTTCCACAACACCCTGCTTGTGTTATTCCTCTTAATTGCCCACCTGTGTCTCAAATTGATTGTTGTTACTGTTGGTGCTGTCCTCTCATGTGTGGCCATGTGCTGTAAACCACACACCGTGAAGGCACAGAGGCTTCTTCTGCGCTCTTATTTAACCACACCAAGGCATTTCATCCATCCTTCATCCTTTCTCTTCTTTCGACTGTCATCCATCAGCAATAAGCATATCCGGGGGATACAAGGATGAGTAGTCGCTTCTGAAAATGTACACAAAGGCAGAGAGAAACACACAAAACACACACTAGAGTGACAGTCTGCAGGGCTGTCGAGCGTCTCTTTGATCCTTTATCCTGACCTTGCGTGTTTATGAGGCTGTTTTTGGTGATCCTTGCAGCGCCAAAAGACCGTGAGGTGTGTGTCCTTTTTGTTTAGGTGTGTGTGAGGGTTGGTGGGGGTCCAACAGTTGTTTGATGTGTGTGTTAAGCTGTCAGAGACCACATACACGGGGCCCCCTGTGCTGAGACAGCTGGTTCCTCAAGGCTTTATTTGCAATCTGACTGACTTTGAGTCAGACTGCAGCTCTTCGGAAAATTCATGATATCACACGTCTGACCTGATAGCAGCTTGACAGCCCTGATGATAAACAGACCCTCAGGCAAATACTGAGTCATCGGTACCAGTTACATTACCAATCACATTAACAGCTGCACATTTAATGATCTTAATACCGTCAAAGCAAACACTTCCAGCACGGCTAGGAAGCTTGAACATTTAGGCGTCGTTGCCGCCTGCTCCACTTCAGTATTCTCCCTTTTCAAGCAGAGACCATGAGGTGATTGACACCAGCTTGTTAGACACAAAGGTCACCAGGATGGGAGGTTTACACCTTTTCTTACTGTCCCAGCAAGACTAATATGGCTTCAGCTAGAGATTTACAGCTGTTTGCATGGATGAAACAGTTCTGAACTCTGTGAAATGCATGTTGAAATGACATACCAGTATCTTTTACTCCATCTGGCACAATCTTTGATAATAGCGTGGTTACTGGTGACTAGTGGCAGGACAGGCTGTGTGAGAGCAGGATAGAAAGGTATTGGGCATGACGGGACAGAATATGAAATGAAATTGCTTGATTCAACAGCAGCCTAAAGGGGCTCTCAGACCCAAAACAGCCCTGCTTAAAACAACATAATGGTAATTGGTGAATGCTGCTTCAGGTACTGGTGAGACATGACATCCAGTTGAGTAACAGATCCATGAATCAGACATAAAAACACTGCACAGTGGTTGATAATGCTCTGACAGATTATTTACATATAACTACATTTACTATAACTGTTTCTACCAGGAATGTGCAGAAGGCCTCACGTTGTGTTATAGCAAAATAAAGAGAGGGCAGAGGTTTTTTTTTTTACACAGGGCTTGAGTTGGGTTGTCTGGGTTGACGGATTCCTAGCAGATTAGAGGATGACTGGTGCAGCATAATTGTCCCATGTAAACTAATTGGATTCCCAGGAGCTGGAACTTGAAGAGAATAGATGAAGTCCTCACCACAGAAACACAGCCAGTTCTAGCAGCCATATAGCACATGGACTAGATCTGTCTCCCGTTTGTTGCCCGGTGCAACCTTCAGTTAAAATCTGCTCATTATGAGAGCTGAAAACATAAATAAATCACAGATTCTACATTTGGCTTTTCCAGTACATGGTTGTGACATACATGCACAGTATTGGGAAAAAGGTCCGACATACTCCATCACTCACTTTTAAAAGGTCAGGAAGCAGCCATGATGCACACTTCTTGCTGAGTTTGTATTTATATGAGAACAGTGCACTTTCTTGAACCCATCTAGCACACATACTTGGAGTTCACACGATGTTTTCAGGACCTTACAGCCCCAGTTACCCAACCCTCGGACATCCAGAGCAGCAGCAGCAGCTAACCCCACACATGGATGTCCAAATTCAGTTCTGTTTATAGGCCAGTTGACCGGGTGACTCTGTTGATATAAATCTTCCTGCTTTCAACATGTTGTTGTCTTCCCTGCCAGTAGCAGCTGAACAGAAATATTTATCAACTCTAAATGTGAGGACAAGAGAGGGAAATCCCACACAGTTTTCACGAAAGGGTATAACAAGCTGTAACACTTGCATTCAGGGTCACCAGTGAAAATATAACTGTTAGAGAAAGGAGGGGGGCCTCCTCGTCTCTTACGCAGGGCAGCTGAGAAGAGTTTAAATCACAAGGAACAAAAGTGAGACGTTCATTTATCATTTATAGAAGCAGTGAGGCAGAGCCAGTCCTAACCTCCATGGGGCCCTGAGCACGGTGTGTTAAACTGGCGTAAGCCTGGCAGCAGCTGCAGACACCAGTCCAGATAATAATAATAGTATAAAAGAATAGAATAGTAATAATAGAAAGCTGGAAACAACCTGTCTCACAGAGAGGTACAGTGTTTTTATTTCTGGTTTTACTTTTGTGAGAGTGAAATGAAATGTTTTACATTTAAGTCATTTACAAAGCAATATCTAGCTACAGTTGGCTAACGTTAGCCACCATAAGCTACAGGTCATCCCAGACCAAGTAAGGTCGTAGCCACAAACTCCCCCAGTGTACAAGACTGAGCAGTGGTGCATTTTATTTCTTATTTATTAAAAAAGGGTTACTTTCAAAATGCTGCACTGCGACTGTGAAGCTGTTTAAATTTGATGCAACTTTATGGTGATTTTGAGGCCATAGTTGTTTGCTTTGCATTAC